CATTTCAGCAGTACCACAAGTAATTAATACTAATGAACATGCAAACCACGTATTGGCAGGTGCAGTATAAGCTTGGAAATGAGTTATGATCTTAGCAAGAGAAAGATTGCAAATTTCAGAAAATGGATACCTGTTAAATTGAAACTTGCAGTTATTGAACAAGAGACTTATCCAGTTACGTCTCCAATAGTGACATGAACAGTTTTTGGAATACAAGTTGTTTTAGTAGCCGGGCTGGGTGGCTCAGCATGTAATCCCGTGCCTTAGGGAGGCTGAGGTGAGGGGATTGCCTGAGCCCGCGGGTTCGAGACCCGCCTGGGCAGCGAGACCTCATCTCTACAATCAATCAAAAATTCAGCCGGGTGTGGTATTGCATGCCTGTAATTCCGGCTACTTGGAAGGCTGAGGCGGAAGGATCACCGGAGCCCAGCAGGGCGAGGCTGCGGTGGCCGGGAGCGGCCACTGCACTCCAGTCTGGGTGACAGAGTGAGACTCCCAACTCAAAAAAAAAAAAAAAAAAAGAAAAAAAAGAAGTGCTGTGCTTCCCACCTGTGAATGCTGACCATGGAAAATCATTCGCAAGAGCAGGCCAGGTTTTTTCTTTACAGTCGTTAGATATGTCATTTGCAATAATATGTATAAAATCTAGCAGACGTTTCCAGGTGTACCCTGGCATTGCTCTTGTGTTATGTTCCAAATATCTAAAAATTTAAATCTTCTAGATTTTCAATTACAAGTTCATTGCAATTTAAATTGCAGTGTGCAGCATCCACTTCTAAATCTATCTTTTCACCTGAAGTTCTTTGCAAAGGGAAAGATGCGTTAATTTAAAAAATCTTTAACATGTATTGTGTCATTAAACCCCTGTGCTAGCCATGGCAAAATAAGTTTTAGCCCTTTTGAACTATCACCCTCTCTCCACCATGTCATTGACTAATAATTCTTATTTTTAAAAAATTCACATTGCATAGTGCCCCGAACTTCCACACCTGTGATGATACACTGATACCCACAGGGCCTAGGTTGTAATTATTGTAAAACTGTTGAATTCCATCCACTCCGATTTATTTTCAACTGGTGGGCTCTTATATCTGTCATAAAGTTGTTCTAGTTTTTCTAGTGTATTGCGTTTCTTTGTGTGTGTGTGTGTGTGTGTGTGTGTGTGTGTTAGAGTCTCACTCTTGCCCAGGCTAGGGTGCAGGAGCACACTCATGGTTACCGGAGCCTCGACCCGCTGGGCTCCTCGATCCGTCTGCCTCAGTCTTCCAAGTAGCTGGAACCACAGGCGCGCACTATCACGCCCGACTAATGTTTTGATTTATGGTAGAGACAACGTCTCACCATGTTGCTCAGGCTGGTCTCGAACCCTGGACTCAGGCAATCCTCTCACCTCCGCCTCCCATAGACCTGGGATGATAGCCTTGAGTCCCAAGGGGCTTGTTTGCTTAAGATAGTGTAAGCTTGTGCTCACTTGGCACTTCTGTGAGGCTCCCCCTCCCTGGTTGGCCCTGCAGCTCTTGGCCTCTTGCAGTAAACTTCATTTTAAATCAACACCAGAAAACTGTTGTCTTAGCTGTTGTCTCAGGGTTGTGCAAACAGTTATGTTTAATAACACTTTTCACCAACAGATGGCACTAATAATTTCCTTTATTTTAATAATACCCCATTCGAACTTATCATTTGCATCGAAACGTATCTGATTTTTTTTTTGAGTCAGAGTCTCACTCTGTCACTCAGACTAGAGGGCAGTGGCACACTTGCGGTCACCGCATCCTCAACCTGCTGGGCTCAGGTGATCCTTCCGCCTCAGCCTTCCAAGTAGCTGGAGCTACAGGCATGCACCACCACACCTGGCTAATTTTTTGCTTTATTGTAGAGATAAGGTCTCATCAAGTTGCCCAGGCTGGTCTTGAACTCGTGGACTCAGGCAATCCTCTTATCTTGGCCTCTCGAAGTGCTGGGATTGTAGGCATGAGCCACCGTGCCCGGCCTAAAACATATCTGATTTTGAGTGGCTATTGCACACACAAAAAATCCAGCACTTCTGATCACGTCTTTAGCCCGTTGCCTGCCTCTTGGATTACTCGCTTCCCACTCCAGTCTCTTCTTTCATTCCTAGTCTATCCCTTGATTGACTTCTCAAGAAAACAGGATGGGTGGAACTCATGAGAGAAACAGAAGGGTAAAGAGAGGAAGCGTTTGTTGAGGTCCTTTGCTGCAGGGGAGAGGCAGACATTCGTGTTGATTGCTTGGGCAGGAGGGTGGAGTTTAGGTAAAAGCTTACTAAGACTTTGTGGTGGAACGACCACATGCAGAGTTCCGTTCTGTATTAATCCTTGTGTGAGAATATGCAGAGCTCGGGTCCAGGACCCCACCTTCAGAGCTCACATGCTCATCCAGATGAGGCCGACACACAAGGTGAATGCGGGATTGGTCAGAATCTTCAGCGTACAGGACGGTATTCATCAGATGAGCATGTCCAGTAAAACGCTATGAGTTTGGAGGAGGCAGCGGAGTACTCGTTTGGTCGGTTGATGACGATTAGTTGAACGTCCTTCACATCACTGTTCTTGGCATGGCAACACAAGGATGAACAGGGCGGACGAGACAGTTGCCTTCAAGGAGGGCGTCTTGGAGGACGTGGCCTTGAGTGGAGGCCTAAATATCGATAAGATGTGGGACTGCCAAGATCCAAAGGAGGAATTCTCAAGCGCGAGGAGGAGCCCCTGGTGCAAAAACCCCAGGGAACCGGCTTAAAGTGTTTCAGGCACGGATGAAGGCCTGAGTGGCCCGGGATGGGAGAAGGCTTGAACGTAGTGGGGCCGCAAGTCACATGGGGTGTGCAGGCCGTGGCAAAGAGCTGGATGAGGGCATTCGGGAAGGTTTTGCCGAGAGTTGGAGCTGGTGGCAGTGAGTGGGATCTGGCTGGTCGGCACCGCACGTGGATTCTCTCAGTACTCAGCCCACGTGCCCTGTGTGATGGGCACAGTGATCTGCACTGTACAGATGCGGACACACAGGCGGACGGTGACGGGTGGCGGGAGTGGTTTACGGAAGCATGGCACATTCATTTTCTTTTCTCAGAATAGAAATCATCAGGCTGGGCATGGTGGGTTACGCCTGCAGCCCCAGCACTCTGGGAGGCCGGAGCGGGAGGATCACAGGTCAGGAGTTCCAACCAGCCTGGGCGACATGAGACTCTGTCTCTACAGAAACTTAATAATTAAACTTAATTTTTAAGAAAATCCAGCGGGCTAGTACCAGGGAAGCAGAAGAGCTTGTTTTTTGCTTTTCTTCCTGGAAGAGAACGGAGAGAGCTACAGCTGATTCAGCGTGGGTCACGAAGACCTTGGAGGACAGGCCTTTTGTTTTCCCCGGTTCTGTCAAACCCCGCGGACAAGGGTTCTGTGAAGGAAGGTCAGCATTTGCTCTTATGAGTGAAGGAAGGTCAGCATTTGCTCTTATGACTATGAATCCTCGGGAGCACGTGGCTCCTTGAGCCAGGCCAGCTCGTTACGCAAGTCTCCATCTGTCATGTTGGCTGTTAGGGCTCGTAACGCTCTGACCTCAGTTTCTTCGTGTGCTGAATGGGGGTGATGGAATGGAGCATACATGCATTTCGAATTTGGTTGGAAGGCCTATTACTCACCTCCCTTCCGCTCTCTTCCTGCACGGGGTGCTGAGAACAGGGAATACTGGCCTCCGCCTGACTCAGCGAGGCTGTGTTAGTCACTAACGGATGCTCTGGCGAGGCAACTCCCAGGACTGCTGAGATGCGTGTGGCCAGCCCCTGGCAGTCCTCTGGGCCCGGGAAAACCACCCTGAGACCGGTCGCAAAGGTGCTGCACTGAAAGCGTGTCATTCCTAATAGGGCTCCTGATTCAATATTTGGTAATGTTAAGGAATGACAGAGTGGGATGCTGGGGTTTACGTGCTCAGGAGTCAGATGCGCCTTCCTTGAGACTTGTTGCAATGTCAGCACATTTCTGAAGAAAGGAAAACGGGAAAAAGAAAAAGGACACACACAAGACCTTAAAGTTCTTTTTTTTAAGATGTGATAATTGTGTTGTAGTTATAGTTTAAAAAGTCTTATCCTTGAAGCCTCCATATTGAAATTTGGAATGATGAAATAATATGGTGCTCGAGGTTTGCTTCAAAACAACATACAGGCAACCTTCCCCCGGGCCCCTCCTGCTGTGGGAGCTTTTCTGTCCTCTTCGTAAATCCTGTTTTCGGAAACAACAACAACAACAACAACAACGTAGTTCAGCATAAAAGTGATGAGTGAGTGATATCACCGGAAACAAGATCGACCAGAAACCGAATTGTTGAAGCTGGGTGATAGGGCCTGGTGATCCCTTTTATGCTTTCTGTTTTGGGGTACTTCTGGAATTTTTCATAATATAGAGTTTTTTTTTCATGCCTGGTCCTGAGCCAGGGCAGAAAGGACCACCTTGGGCAGAGCGGCTGAGCTTCAGGGAGCACACTGGCTGCCGGTGCTGTGCTGGCTCACTGCCATTGGCCCACAGAGACGTCCTAAACGAGCTTCCCTCAGTGTCTGGGATAGTGGCTGTGGGGCATGCACTGCTGACTGCGTGGCCAGGACCCAGTGAGTACTGAGTCAGTCGCTGAAGGCCAAGAGACCAAGCCCTGATCCCTTTTTTCTTGACTTTGCAGTGGAGCCCAAGGGGAATACGCCGGGCTGGCCACCATCCGAGCATACTTGGACCGGAAGGGGGAGAGGCACAGGACGGTGAGTGTGGATGCTGGCACTGGCTCACCGTGGGTGGTGGGGGCCCAGCTCCTGGGGTTCCTTTTGTTCTGTGAGATACTCCCTCCAAGCCTCCTCGGAAGCCGATGGGGGAACATATAATCAAGAGACAAATGTCTGTGAATAACAGCTATGATCCTCGCCTCCAAGACATCTCACATGACCATTCTGAGGGAAAACATTCAGAGATAAAAGACTTTTGCTCAAACCTAGAATGTCAAAGTCAGCCACTTGGCTGTGGAACCGTTCTCTCCAGGGAGCAGAGGGAGGGCGGGAGGGGGCGAGAATGTCGCCCCAAGCATCTTCTCCGTGGCTCAGCCTTGGCCCCAGAGCTGGAGGAAGGCAGAGACCATGGGCCAATTCTTCTGTAACTCCTGTTGTGCTGGAGAACACTTCTGGTCATATGCATGCTCAAAAAACAAGCAGGGCGTGGTGGCTCACTCCTGTAATCCCAGCACTTTGGGAGGCTGAGGCAGGAGGATCGCTTGAGCTCAGAAGTTGGAATCCAGCCAGGGCAACAAAGAGAGACCTTGTTTCTACAAAACATTCAAAAACTTAGCTGGGTGTGGTGGCACACACCTGTAGTCCTGGCTACTTGGTCCTAGGAGGCCAAGGCTATGGTGAGCTGTGAGCCTGCCCCTGCACTCTGGCCTGGGTGCCGGAGTGAGCCTAAACATTTATCAAATAACCACATTTCCCATTAGATGATTCTCAGCTTGAAGCACCCAAAAGGCACAATGCAGAGTTCACAGTCCTGCATCATGGTTCGCTGTGGGTGTGAGAGTCTGGTGTCCAGGATCCCAGCTGCCTCTTGGGGGCCATTGTGGGGCCAGCAGGTGCCCATGGACACCCTAGTCCCCAGGGCAGTGCCGTTAGCAGGGTCTCCGTCAGGCCTCTAGTCGCAGCCGAAGGAGGCCTGTGTTCCTGGTCCCTTGGCTTTGATGGCCGCACTGAAGCACAGCTAGGAGCCAGGGCCGGGGCCAAGGCAGCAGCTGCCCCAGGAGAGTAGAGAAAAAGGCTGCCGGTGGCCCTGGCTGCCCAAGTAAGAGGCCTGGGGGCGGGGCAGGGGGAGAGTGGAGGCCCAAAGTTGGTCCATCCCTGGGTTTATTAAAACTGAAGATGGCTTATGGCTAGCTGCCTGGATTTCGCAATATGGAATTTTGAAACTGTTTCACTTCTCTTTCAAAAAGGGGGAAAAGAAGGAACTTGTTTTCTCTCCTCCCGCTTCCATATGTGTGTCCTCCCAGGCCTTTGCCCTGGCTGGGGAATGGAGCCCAGCCCAAAGATCTTTGAAAAACAGGCCATTTGTGAATTGAGGACATGATTGCACCCCGGGCGTGGTTGAGGCCGCACAGGCCAGTCCAGGGAGAGGCCAAGCGACCGGCCGGGCAGAGACGGACCCTGACGTTCTCACACGTGGGGTTGTTTGCTTGGGTTTCCTTGTGGTTTTGAGTTCTTGGCTTTCCGAGGAAGGGGTGGTTTAGAACCACGTTGCTCTTGGGGCCGCCGAGTCTCAGCACTTCCACAGAATCAGAAAGGAAAGTTCGCATTCCGGTTGTCCAGTGAGGTGCTGGTGTGTGTCTCTTGCGGCTTCCACGTGCTGAGGCAGCCCCGAGACTCCTCACGTGGCCTCTTTCATCACAAGGTGCCCGGGCATCCTGGAAAGGGAGTGGGTGGCTGTCCGGAGGCCCCTCCACGCCCCCCTGCCACTGTTGGGTGGCGAGGCCGCTGAGTGTGGGGCTTGGGGAGGGCCAGTGACTGGCTGATGGCAGAGCCAGCTGGAATCCAGATCCTTTCCCCCCGGTGGTGCTTCCCAGCCCTTGCTGCGTCCTTCCACGTTCTGCCTTCTGACACCAGGAAGTAGCTGTGGAGGGCCTGGAGTTGGGCCCCAGACAGGAAGGTCAAGGAGGAAGCGCGGGAGCTCCTTGGACCTGGCCGGGCGAGCGTGTCCAACCCACCGGCTCTCCCAGGCTCCCGTTTCCATTCCCCCGGGTGCTTTCCAGGGCCCCCTCTCCCCGCCCTGTGCGTGAGATGTCTCTCCCGGCCCCGCCGTCCGTCCTGCTGTCAGGGAAGTGTCCGTGGGATGGCGGGGGAGGGCGAGGGGCTGCGCTTCGGGAGGGGCGAGGAGGGAGAGGCAGGGGAGCCCTGGCTGCGAGCGGGTGGAGCGGTTGGAGACGAGGCCGGGTGGAAACCAGCAGCCTGGACATGCTGGCGTCCTCTGGATGAAGATTGCTGTTGAAGCCGGCTTTCTTAGAGAAGAAGAGAAGGACTTCTTGCCCGACGATCAGGGACAGGTTTTCCGGTCGGCGATGTCCGCGGCAGCTGCTCCCACACTGCAGGCCCTGATGGAGCCGGCGAAGCGTGTGCTCCTCCCAGAAAGGCGCATGGGGAAGTCGTGGGCGGATGCCGGTTTTCCCTCAGGCTGCTTTCCAGCTGCTACTGCGTGCTTTTCACATTGACTCTCAGGCTACACTGTAGAGATTCCTCAAATAGAAGGCCCGAGTTCTTGACTTGCAATTTAATCTGGGAGAGTACAAATTTATTTGACAAATACTTATGGGGAGAGTACAAATTCATTTGACAAATACTCATCAGCAAGGGTACCTGCATAATGAACATGTGTGTACCTAACTCTGAATTGTGCCCCACATCTTTAAAATTAAAAATTAAAAAAAGAAAGATAGCAAAGAGGGGAAAAAACAGGGGTGGGTTCAGTGTCCATAGTACTCAGTGATCTAGTATGGAAACAAAGATCTGAATACTACATATACTGACTCCTAAGCGAACCCTGAACATTTATCATCATACTATCAGAAAGGGATTGGCAGCCAGGCGCAGTGGCTCATGCCTGTAATCCCACGCTCTGGGAGGCTGAGGGGAGTGGATTGCCTGAGTCCGGGGTTCGAGTCCACGTGCACCTGTAGTTCCAGCTACTTGGAAGGCTGAGACAGAAGGATCGCCGGAGCCCAGCAAGTCAAAGGCTGTGGTGGCCGGGAGCATGCCACTGCACTCCAGTCTGGGCGACAGAGTGAGACTCCAACTCAAAAAATAAAAAATACATAAATAATAATAATTAAATAAAATTAAAAAACAAAATTTCTCACAAAAAACATAGGCTGGGAGTCACTGGCTCACATTGTCATCACAGCACTATGGGAGGCTGATGGGAAGATTGCTTGAGGCCAGGAATTTGAGACCATCCTGGATAACATAGCAAAACCCTGTCTCCACAAAGAAGCTTTTAAAATGTAGCTGGTTGTAGTGGCATCCTTCTGTAGTCCTGGCTATTTGAGTGACCAAGGCAGGGGTTCACTCAAGCCCATGAGGTTGAGGCTGCAATGATTGTGTCACTGGATTCCAGCCTGGGGGACAGAGTGAGACTCTGTCTCAAAAAAAAAAAAAGATCTGAAGGCTGAGGCAGAAGGATCACCGGAGCCCAGCAGGCGAGGCTGCGGGGGCCGGGAGCGACCACTGCACTCCAGTCTGGGCGACCGAGTGAGGCTCCGACTCAAAAAAAAAGGAAAATTAAGATTCTCTAAAACCACATAAAAGCCCAGAAATGTCCAACAGCAACACATAAACGAGTCATCGACAAAACCACTGATACCTTTTCTCTTTCCATTACTCTTTTGCGTCAGCCTCCCTCTGTCTCCCAGCCAGACGGTGGCATGCTCACAGCCACCAGGGCCTCGACCTGCTGGGCTCCGGCGGTCCTTCTGCCTCAGCCTTCCAAGCAGCTGGAACCATAGGCACGCGCCACCACACCTGGTTAAGTTTTAAAATTTATTTATTGTAGAAACAAGGTCTCACCACATTGCCCAGGCTGGTCTCAAACCCTGGGCTCAGGCAGTCCTCTCGCCTCGGCCTCCCAAAGTGCTGGGATGACAGGCTGGAGGCACCGTGCTCAGCCTATCAATATTTCATACTCATTTCTAATATTGACTTTTCTCCTTTTTTAAATCAATATTCTGCCCTGAAGGACTCCTTTCATCCAGTGAGCCTTTTGTAGAATAAAAGTTCTTTGTGAGAGAGGTGACTCTAGCTTTGTCCTGAGAAATTAAAGAAAAAAATGTAACTACAAAAGGGAAGCTTTCAAGCAAGAAGACGGATGTGGGGCCACACGGCATACCCAGCTTGAGACCGATAGATACTCAAAAGGGACGCCCACCTTTTGCCAGCACAAAACCCACAAAGTGAGTCCACGTTCGCCTCTGGCTGAAGTTCTCTTTTTATGCACATGCATTTTTCTGAAATAGACCACTTTGCTGTTTTGGAGGAGACAGCTGAAGTCAAATTTTTTCTTCCTAAGCCCATTGGGTTTTTTTGAGTCTCACTGTCACGCAGGTTGGAGGGCAGGGGCACACTCCCGGGCACCGCAACCTCGACCTTCTGGGCTCTGGTGATCCTTCTGCCTCAGCCTTCCAAGGAGCTGGAATTACAGACACACGCCACTGTGTCTGGCTAATTTTTTGATTTGTTGTAGAGACGAGGTCTCGCCAAGTTGCCCCAGGGGACCTCAAACCCGCGGGCTCAGGCAATTCACTCGCCTCAGCCACCCAATGTGCTGGGATTATAGTCCACTTCTAATAATGTTCATCTATTTCTCCTCAAAGGAATTGCAATCTTGGTTCTGTGATTTAAAAAATAGGAGGGATATTTTTCATCTTAAGTGTTTTTGTTATCTATCTATCATCCCTTTATTCCAGTAGCTTTAAGCAGTATGATTGGTTTTTGGTTACGGGGAGCCCTTGCACGGTGGCAAAGTAGTCTGGGCTTTACGTGTCCCTGCCACCCCCACCTGGGCCCACTATACCCGGTGGGTGATTTCTCGTCCCTCCCCCACCCCCTCCCCCTTCTGAGTCTCCAGTGTCCACTGCGCCCTTCTCTGGGCCTTGGCAGAGCCTTAGCTCAGCTCCCGCTTCTAAGTGAGAACGTGGGTGTTGGCTTTTCTGTTCCTGCGTTAGTTCACTTAGGATGGTGTTCCAGCTCCATCCACGTTGCTGCAAAAGGCACCACTTCCTTCTTCTTGACGTCCGAAGAATGTTCCATGCGCTCTATAGGCTGCGTTTTCATTATGCACTGACCGGCTGGGGGGCATCATCTGGGTTGTGTTTGCATCTCTGCTACCGCAGGTTGTGCCGCGATGAACATGGAGTGCAGGGGTCCTTTTCGGAGAGGGGCCTCTGTTCCTCTGGGGAGATGCCGAGTCATGGGATTGCTGGATCGAACGGCAGACCTGCTTGTGCTTCTTTGGGAAATCTCCCTACCGATTTCCATAGAGGCTGCACTAACTTGCATGAGAAGGATTGTTCTTTTTTCTTCTGACAGCAGGATTCCTTGAGAGGATAGAAAAGCTCCCACAGTGGGAGGGGACCCGAAGGGGCTGCCCAGGAGGGCCCTTCTCAGGGGAGCTGCTGGGAGAAAGCGCTGTGATGCGCTTTCCTGTCGTGGGTCTGCGAGTGCGTGTGTGCTTGCCTGTGTCCAGTGACGGGAGGAAGTGGAAGAGCATCGGAGTCTGGGGATCCTGACGTCATCCTACCATTCCCCTTCCATAAAATGCCAACACCCCCTCACTTCAGCTCGGCCCTCAAGGGCTTTCTCTTCATCTTGCCAGCCAGGCACTGCGTGCCCTTCTCAAGTTCCTAGCCCACCTCTGGACGCTAGACATCATCTCTGTGCCAGCGGTGTGAGCGAGTTGTGTGAGCCCGGGGCAGGAGGCGGGCATTGTCATGCTTCGTTCTCATTTCCATGGCAGCTAACAGTCTGTTGCAGAGTGAGCATCCCATGAATGACGTCACTGGTGTGGTGAGCCTAGAGTTGAATTTCCAGTTTCGTGTTCTTTTTTTTTTTTTTTGAGTTAGAGTCTCACCGCATCGCCCAGGCTAGAGTGCAGTGACACGCTCACGGCCACCCTGGTGTCGACCTGCTGGGCTCAGGTGATCCTTCCACCTCAGCCTTCCAAGGAGCCAGAACTACAGGTGTGCACTACCTTGCCTGGCTAATTTTTGACTTATTGTAGAGACAAGGTCTCACCAAGTTGCCCGGGCTGGTCTTGAACCCACGGGCTCAGGCAATCCACTCGGCCCGGCCTCCCAAAGTTGCTGGGATTGCAGGCTTGAACCACTACGCCCAGCCTAATATTTAAATTTATTGTAGAAATGAAGTCTCACCATGTTGCTTAGGTTGGTCTCGAACCCCTGAGCTCAGGCAATGCTCTAGCCTTGGCCTCCCAAAGTGTTGGGTTTACAGATCTGAGCCACCATGTCCGACCTGAACATTCTGTTGCAATGACAATCACAACGTTGCCAATTTTAAGGCGCTAGTGGTCAGCTTAAATAAAAGCCTGTGCTGCCTGTTTCATTTATGCTGCCAGCGTGTGGGGGACTTTCTGTCCCGATGATTAGCTCGGTGATTCCTTTTCCTCCCTCCTTGCCAGGTTTGCCTCATTCCGAAATCAGCACATGGGACCAACCCAGCAAGTGCCCACATGGCGGGCATGAAGATTCAGCCTGTGGAGGTGGACAGATTTGGGAATATCGACGGCGCTCACCTGAAGGCCATGGTAGGCCTCTTCCCTTGGCCAAGGGAGTGCCGGGTCGGGGGCGCTGCTGGGGCCGGGACCAGACGTGTGGCCCTGAAGGCTGCCTCTCCTGCGTTCGGATGAGAAGTCTGCTGTTCCTTCTCTCACCAGAGCCCGCTCGCCCCCTCCCTATGCCAATGGGAGACATCCCGGCTCCCGATTCCTGCCTGTGTGAGAAGCGGAATGCATTGTGCATGGGGTGGGCGAGGGCTCCTGGCCGGCCCTGCTTGCTTCCTCCTGTTCTTCCTTCTCTCCGTGGCCCTCCTTCCCCCATTCGTCATCAGCCTGGCGGTCACACTCGCTCTCCACCTTGGTGTCAGGAATTGCAGATGGCTGTGACTGTCCTGGCCCGACATGCTGAATTCCAAGCAGCCTCCCGCCTGGCTTCCGCCAACCCCCCTCCCCACCAACCTCCCAGCCTCGGGGAAGAGGTTGCTCAGCAACCACATCTGCTTCCCGCCGGTGGACTGGCGGCTGCATCTTAAGAGGGAGGGAATCCCAGGAATAGCAAGGCGATGTTGACAGCGGTGTTATCGGGTGTGAGGGCCGGGAACGCCGTGCAGTTGCCTTCCGGGGGAAGCTGAAAACGCAGTCGCTGCACGTCTCTTCCACCGCACCCTTCCATCGCCCCAGGACACTTTTTCCAGACAAATAATCCGCACCAGTCGTTGTCCTTACTAGTCTCTCACACACAGGACTATAGGCTTCGACTCCTTCCTGCCCGCACGTTTTCACATGTACCTGCTCTGATTGGCTGGCCAGGAGAAAAAAACAAGAAAACAACAGGGGCATGACTTTTATACATGCTTGCCTTTTGTAAAAAGGAAAAATGGGGGAGGTTTTTATCAAAGCAGAAACACTCCCTATGGAAATATTCTTTTTAAAATTAAATTCTTATTCATTTTATTTTTTAATTGGCAAATATTAATGGTACATATTCATGGGGTATGTAGTGATGTTTCTTTTTTCTTTTTTCTTTTTTTTGACGTGGAGTCTCACTCCGTCGCCCAGGCTGGAGTGCAGTGGCCTGCTCATGGCCACCGCAGCCTCAGTCTGCTGGGCTCAGGTGATTCTTATGCATGAGCCTTCCAAGTAGCTGGAACTACAGGTGTGTGCTACCACACCTGGCGATTTTTTTTGTTTTTTTTTGAGTTGGAGTTTCACTCCATCACCCAGGCTGGATCCTTCCGCCTAAGCCTTCCAAGTAGCCAGAACTACAGGCACACACTACCACGCCCGGCTAATTTTTTATTTTATTGTAGAGACAAAGTCTTGCGAAGTTGCCTGGGCTGGTCTCGAACCTGCGGGCTCAGGCAATCTACTTGCCTTGGCCTCCCAAAGTGCTAGGATTACAGACTGAGCCACCGTGTCCAGCCTAATTTTTTGATTTATTGTAGAGATAAGGTCTTGCCAAGTTACCCAGGCTGGTCTCGAACCTGTGGGCTCAGGCATTCCTCTCGCCTCTGCCTCCCAAAGTGCTGGGATTATAGGCTTGAGCCACTGCGCCTGGCCCGCTTATCATTTCTTTATGCTGAGAGTGTTCAACATCCTCCTTCTAGCTCTTTGAAGCCATATATTATTATTATTTTTTGGAGTCAGAGTCTCACTCTGTCACCCAGGCTGGAGTATAGTGGCACGCTCGTGACCACCGCAGCCTCGACCTGCAGTGGCCATGAACGTGCCACTCTACTCTAGCCAGGCAACTTCCACCTCAGCCTTCCAAGTAGCTGGAACCACAGGCATGCACCATCATATCCGGCCAATTTTTCCTGGTTTGTTGTAGAGACAAGGTCTCAACCAAGTTGCCTGGGCTGGTCTCGAACCCCTAAGTTCAGGCAATCCTCTCGCCTCAGCCTCCCAAAGTGCTAGGATGACAGGCATGAGCCACTGCTGCACCTGGCCTCCATATATTATTTTAACTGTAGTCATTCTACGGTGGTTTGGAACACTAGAACTTTCCCCTCCTATTTAGCTGTGATTGGGAAGTTCTGATTTCAACAGAGTGGGAGGAGCAGGGGCAGCATGGCAGGGTGACCAGAGAGCGATGAACTGTGAGAATAGACGTGTGTCTAGAACCAAAAAGTCCTGGAATAATTACTGGTGCCTTGAACCAAGGGAAAACGACCATTGAGAGTTGGGCCCCAAATATCAAACAAATCTGAACAGTTTTTTGGTCTTGACCACCGTGACCTGTCCTGAAAGCCTCTTGCTGTTTCTCTGTCCATGAAAAGAGTAATGGCTGTCATTGTCCTTTGAGACAGTTCCAGGAATGCAAAGACCAAGACTTCATCTTTCTTCACCCTTTAAGATAAAGGCCAATGTCTGGTCAAGAGAGAAACGTGCCCTCCCTGTGTCTCCCTCCCCCCTCTTTGTCACAGGTGGAGAAACACAAGGACAACCTGGCGGCAATCATGATCACCTACCCGTCCACCAACGGAGTGTTTGAAGAGAACATCAGCGATGTGTGTGACCTGATCCATCAGCACGGAGGACAGGTCTACCTAGATGGAGCGAATATGAACGCTCAGGTGGGGATTGGGAGGGGGCCTCCCTTAGATCCCACAGAGGAAATGGATCAGGCAAAACGTCGCTTTTCTCTGACCACTTTTTTTTTGAGTGGGAGTCTCACTCTGTCGCCCAGGCTGGAGCGCAGGGGCACACTCACTGCCACCGTAGCCTCGAATTGCTGGGGTCAGGTGATCCTTCTGCCTCAGCCTTCCGAGAAGCTGGAACTACAGGTGTGTGCCACCACCGCACTCGGCTCTTTTATTTTTTCTACCGTAGAGACAGGGTCTCGTCATGTTCTCAGGCAGTCCTCTCGCCTCTGCCTCCCAAAGTGTTAGGATTACAGGTGTGAGCCACTGCGCCCGGCTCTCTGACTTCTTGAGGTATCTGAAGACAGAGAAGTCACAACTAGGCCGACTTCTTTATGGGCAGCTTCGAACCAAACTCCCCGATTTCACTGGGATAACAGATCCTGGAGGAGGGGGCTGGGGAAACTGAGGAGGAGGGTGGTAAAGGGCGGAGAGGAGGCACGAACTGGCCTGGCGCCATCTTTCCGTGGGGGTTAGCAGCACGTCACCTGCTCCCTGCCGGAGGAACGCCAGTCCACGGTCTGGCCTCTGGTTGATGTTGACCTCCCATGGCTGTCACCAAGCCACTTCTGGCTTTAGCGTTGTCAGCTGTGAATCACGGTCCCAAGGAATCCAATCCTGACTACGTGGGGGACAGAGGGTCTGTGTGACGGGAACCTCTGGGGAGAGCGTCACAATCTTGTTTAGACTCCTCTGGGTGTTTGTTTGCTTTTCCTTTTTTTTTTAATGTTTTTGAGTCGGAGTCTCACTCTCATCGCTCAGGCCAGAGTGCAGTGGCATGATTATGGCCACCACAGCCTCTACCTCTGGGTTCAGGCGATCCTTCCGCCTCAGCCTTCCAAGTAGCTGGAACGACAGGCATGCACCACCACGCCCAGCTAATTTTTTGATTTATTGTGGAGACGAGATCTCGCCAAGTTGCCCCTGCTGGTCTCAAGCCCTGGGCTCAAGCACTCCTCTTGCCTCGGCCTCCGAAAGTGCTGGCATGACAGGCTTGAGCCACCATATCTGGCTTTAATTTTTCAAAATTTATTGTAGAAACAAGGTCTCACTAAGTGGCCCAGGTGGGTCTCCAGCCCCTGGGCTCACAGGTAATCCTTTCGCCTCCATCTCCCAAAATGCTAGGATTGCAGGCCTGGGCCACCGCCGCTGGCTTGTAATGACCTATTTCTACAACAAGGAGGCACTGGCCTTTTCTTTATTAGGGCCACTTCCTCTCCTTCCTCTTGATATGGATGATTAGGAATGAACCGTGCATCCAAATCTGTATTTTAAAATCCAAATTGGACTAAACGGCCCTCTGCTGTTTCCATAGAAACCACACGCACCCTTTGTATGGGATGCCAGACTTTGACTGCAGAGCTGGGCCGGCGTGGAGGGTGTTTCCGGGAACACCACGGACACGGCGCTGCCTGCTTTTCCTCTGAGCGGGGAGGGCAGCCCCAGCCCCAGCCCCCGTGGCCTTCACACCAAAGCCCCCTCCAAGCTCTTGACTCTTGCTTTGGCCCCTTCCCTTTGTGGTAGGTGGGGATCTGCCGTCCTGGAGACTTTGGGTCTGATGTTTCACACCTGAATCTTCACAAGACCTTCTGCATCCCCCATGGAGGAGGCGGCCCTGGCATGGGCCCCATCGGAGTGTGAGTTCTGGGCTGCTGGTTTCAGGAGGGCTTGGGAGGCAGAAGAAGGGCGTGGCTCCAAACTCGTCCGTCAAGGCCTTCCAGGGTCCTGGGTGCCCGTCTGCGGTGCACTTGGGGCTGTGTGAGGAGCAGTGAGAGGGATGCTTTTAGGGCATGTCCAAAGAAATGCGTCATCAGATTGTATTTATTCACCATCGTGTTTGGCCTCCCTGCCCTCACCCCCCCACCCCCACCGGTGGCACACAGAACAGCTTTATTAACAGAATGAGGAACGGAGAACTTTACTTGGCCATGACAGATCGGAGCTGGAATATCAATGCTAGGAAGCACCTTTCAGACTCGAGCTTGGATTTCTGAACAGATTTTCTTTCCATCCTTTATTTTTTTTTGAGTCACAGTCTCACTCCGTCACCCAGGCTGGAGTGCAGTGGCACGATCATGGTTCACCGCAGCCCTGACCTCCTGAGCTCAGGCAATCCTTCTGCCTCAGCCTCCTGAATAGCTGGGACTACAGGTGTGCGCTACCATGCCTGGTTAAATACTTTTATTTTTGTAGAACAGGGTCTTGCTATGTTGCCTAGGCTGGTCTCAAACTCCTGGGTTCAAGCATTTCTCTCACCTCAGCTATACGAGCTACTAGGATTACAGGTGTGTATCATTGCGCCTGACTTTCTTTTTTTTTTTTTTTTAAAGAAAATCAGCTGATGGTTGAAAGTGAAGCAGATGTAAAGTCCTTATTACATCTGAGATAAGTAAGGAGGAAGCAAATCTTATTACTAGTGATAATTGAATCAAGTGAGAATAAGACTAAAGGAATATTTCTTAGCTATTGACAACTTTTTACACCACGAATTTGAAGCCTCTTGTGAAAATGATGATGACAAGAACAGCTGTTTCCTGAGCCGCTTCAGTCTTCCAAAAATGTGCTAAAGAGGCCAGTTTTCAGGTTGCTGAGAGCTTGGCTTTCTTGCTTTTTTCTGCTTTTCTTTCTTTTTTTAAAGAAAAAAATTTTAATTATTTTTGTTTTGTAGAGACTGGGTCTCACTGTGTTGACCGGGCTGGTCTTCAACTCCTGGCCTCGAACAATCCTCCTGCCTCAGTCTCTCAAAGTGCTAGGATTACAGGCCTGAGCCGCCATGTCTGGCATGTTCTTTGTTTTTTGAATCTGGGTTTCACTCTGTTGCCCAGTCTGGAGTGCAGTGGTGTGATCCTTGCTCACCCTCAAACTCTTGGGCTCAGGTGATGGTGGTCCTCCAGCCTCAGCCTCTCAAGGAGCTGGGACTACAGATGTGCACCACTGTGCCCAGCTAGTTTTTGTTTTCTGTAGAGACGAGGTCTTGCTGTGTTGCCTAGGCTGGTCTCAAACTCCTGGGCTCAAGCAGTCCTGTTGCCTCAGCCTCCCAGCGTGCTGGGATTGCAGGCATGAGCCGTCACACCCACCTGCTTTTCCTTTTGATGGTTATCGTTTCCCTGCATGGGTGAGCTCCAGCATCTCAGCTGTGGGGAGGTGGGGGGAGAGTTCTTCATGAGTGGGCCTCCGGTGTGCAGCCCCACGGGGCCTCTTCCCATCGGCGTCCTTCTGCGTTCCCCAGGTTCCTTGGCAAGTATGTGGGGGTGAGGAGCTGAGAGACAGGGCTGGGAGGGCGGGGCGGGGAGGGGGTCGGCCCACTGTTCCTGGCTGCCGGCCTCTGCCCCGTCCCCTGCCTAGGATTCGGGTGGGCCTGCGGGGTGCCGATGGCTGGCGGCCCGTGCCTCCGCGGAGGAGGAGCGTTCCTCTGCTAAGAGTGGAGCTGCCTGAGAGGGCCCGGCACGCGCCTGTTTCATCAGACAGGCTCTTTTTACAACTTCTGAATTTGTCCTTAAAAAACGGATACAGGAAGAAGCACCTGGCCCCCTTTCTGCCCACTCACCCCACCATGTCAGTGAAGCCGAATGAGGACGCCTGGTCCGTGGGCACCGTCAGTGCGGCCCCGTGGGGCTCCAGTTCCATCTTGCCCATCTCATGGGCGTACATCAAGGTGAGGCCTGGGAATGTGTGCAGGTGGGCGGGGTGTGCTGTGTGAGCGGGCAGTGCGGCTGCAGACTTCGCGCCTGGCTTCAAAACAAAGAGATCTGTGATCTGAGATGTGGTTCCGCAAATGCTTCTGACGACTCGGGTGGAACAACCTTCCCAAAGAGATCAGCAAGAAATCATTTCGTCTCCTCTCCATTCCTCTGTTTCCTTTGGATTCTTATCGTGGGTTTCACATCAGAGAAAATGACGCGCCGGCATATTTTTCCAGATGCGGTTAGGTTCTATGAGTCATATGGATGTGCTGGCCACGTCATTCGGTTTCCTGTAGGATTTATATAGCCCCTTACTAGTGAAAAGCAGCACACACATGAACTATTGCACTTTGCTGAGATCCTGGAATACATTTTAGGAGTACGTGTCACTCAGCTTTTTATTTCTCAGGGTCCTGGAAGAGAAGAGGAAAACCGCGGAGATTTGCTTTTGTGGTCCTTTCCAGGAGCTCTTTGCACTTCAGGGCTTGTGGAGGAGGGTCCTTGCAGGCGTGATCAGACTGTGTCTGAGGACTGGCTTTCTCCCTTTGTCTTTCTCCAGAAAGCGCTAGGGCCAGCCTGTGTTTCCTGCAGTTGTGGTTCACACTGGCCTCCCCACTTCCTGGACGGACGAACAGGAGCCCTTCCTTGTTCAGCTGCTCATTAGAGCGGCTTCCTCAAACCAGTGCCCCTCTTTCGAGGAAGGGGCCTTCTGGTGAAACAAAACCCCAAAACTCAGCTATGCAAATCGTGCCAGCTGGCTGTTACTCTTGAGCAGGGTCGCATTTAGGAAGAATTTCTTGGAGGCTGGAGCCATTCTGTATCTCAGAGACTTAACCCGGCTTTTTAAAGTGAGACACGGCTGAGTGTGGCCACTCATGCCTGTAATTCCAGCATTTTAGGAGGCCAAGGCAGGAGACCTGCTTGAGACCAGGAGTCTGAGATCAGCCCAGGCCACATAGCAAGACTTTGTCTCTGCAAAAAAAATTAACCGGGTGTGGTGGTGTATGCTTATAGTTACAGCTACTCGGTAGGCCAAGGTGGAAGGATTGCCTGAGCCCAGGAGAGTGGAGGCTGCTGTGAGCTGTGATTGTGCCACCACACTCAACCCTGGGTGACAGAGTGAGATCCCGACTGAAAAAAAATAACAAAATAAAAAAGGGACTCAAGTTGTTTTGCAAATAGTCACAACATAAAAATCAGAACAAAACCTGTTTCTTTGCAGACAGAATCAAATTTCCATTTCCCTTTTGATCCCTGCGTTCTGGAAATCCGGGTTATTTGTATGGACATATTTCGGCTAGAGATGATTCTCCACATATGGAAAATAAATGTCCCAAGGCTGGTTTGGCCTCAGGCCTGGGACCCCAGACAGAGCCTTGGTTTAAAAATTGAATAACTAAAGCAGGACTTCAGCTGCGGCGACCTTGGCTTTCTCTGGTTTCAAGCGGCTGCTGCCTCTCCCCTGGACTCCTGCCCTAGCCTCTTTCCCCCTGCTGCGGTCCCGCAGGGGACAGTGACCGCTAGACACTGTTGGCCTCACCCTGGGGCTCATGCACCTCGCGCTGCACTACTGCTGGTTGTCACCGGCCTACCCAGAATCCTTAGGGCGTTCTTGCAGAATGCACATGCCAAGGCTCCGTTTCACAGAGAAACAAACTCGGCCTGCGGGGGGTTGCCCTTGAGCAGTCAGCATGTTGTAAAAGATGCTCTGTGGGCCTGGCCTGGTGGTTCACGCCTATAATCCTAGCACTTTGGGAGGTCAGGGCGAGAGGACTCCTGAGCCCACAGGTTCAAGATCAGCCTGGGCCACTTAGCAAGACCTCATCTCTACAAGAAATCAAAAAATTAGCCAGGCATGGTGGTGCACGCCTGTAGTTCCAGCTACTTGGAAGACTGAGGCGGAAGGATTGCTTCAACCCAGCAGGCCGAGGCTGCGGCAGCCATGAGTGTGCCACTGCACTCCAGCCTGGGTGACAGAGTGAGACTCCGACTCAAAAAAAAAGATGCTGTGACACATGGGTTGAGAGCCACTGGCTGGCAGAGCCAAGTCCAAGTCCTTCCCGGTGAAGGTTTGAGGCTCACAATTCATCTTGACAGTGCTCTGCCTCCCCCCTCCACATCCTGGTTTCTGCCCTTCTTTTCACCTGGAGTCCCTTCCCCCTCCTCTTTGCCGATCCAACTCCTACTCAGTTTTATGCTTCCAGTCACGTTCCAACTCTCGATCCAGGAACCTGTCTTGGACCAGCCGGGGGCAAGATGGCCTCTCCTTACTCTGAACTTTGATATCACTGTTATTATATTTGGTGCTTGCTTTTTTTTTCTCTTGAGTCGGAGTCTCACTCTGTCACCCAGACTGGAGTGCAGTGGCTGCTCCTGGCCACCGCAGCCTCACCTGCTGGGCTCCTGCGATCCTTCCGCCTCAGCCTTCCGAGTAACTGGAACTACAGGCGCGCACTACCACACCCGGCTGATTTTTGACTTATTGTAGAGATGAGGGCTCACCAAGTTGCCCAGGCGGGTCTCAAACCCGCGGGCTCAGGCAATCCACTCACCTCAGCCTCCCAAAGCGCGGGATTACAGGCTGAGCCACTGAGCCCGGCTTATTTGGTGCTTCCTTATTTGCCTTGTGTTGGATATGCATTTAGTATATCGTCAGACTCCATTGTACACGAGATACTCTGGGAGGCACGTAGGCAGTGCAAATTGGTGCAATCTTGATTTTAAGCTTTTTTGCTGGTGATGACTTCATCCCAAGGGATTATAGAGCCTATCAACCACCAGAATAGGAGGAGATTGAAACTGTAGTTAAACATACATTACCTTGACCATGGACAGTGGGAAGACAATCCATGAAAATCGCCTTGTGCGGATTTTGGCCAGGATCCCAGGGCATTCCAGGAAATTGCATCTCACGTTCATAGTAAGCAAACAAAAAAACCCCAAACACATGTAACCTAAGAACAGTTCTTTTCCTTCTTTAGATAACATAACAGTTAGCAGCCAACTTTGTCCTGTGTAGGTTTTGTTATTACAATTAAAAAATATAAAACTACTATTAAAAAGGGAAAACTGGCTGGGCTTGGTGGCTCAGCCTGTCATCCCAGCACTTTGGGAGGCCGAGGTACGTGAATTGTCTGAGCCCGTGGGTTTGAGACCAACCGGGGCAATTTGGGGAGACCTCACCTCTACAATAAAGAAAAAAATTAGCCGGGTGTGGTCGCGCACACCTGTAGTTCCGGCTCCTTGGAAGACTGAGGCAAAAGGATCACTGGAGCCCAGCAGGCCGAGACTGTGATGGCCGTGAGTGTGTCATTGCACTCCAGCCTGGGCAACGGAGTCAGACTCCAACTCAAAAAAAAGAGAGAGAAAACCAAAAATTATGTTGAGCTTAGGAGGGACTGACGGATGTCCCTATTAGAATTTTCCAGCGTTATGGTGGGCTGACTTCCTTCATGGGTGGATTCATCTGGGACATATTTTCAGCCGTTTCCTGACCCTTAGTTTTATCTGTTCGATGATTAATGGTTCTTTTTTCCCTCTGTTACAGATGATGGGAGGCAAGGGCCTTAAGCTGGCCACAGAAGTCGCTATACTAAATGCCAACTACATGGCTAAGCGATTAGAAAAACACTACAGAGTCCTTTTCCGGGGTGCAAGAGGCAAGTATCAACCTTAGTCTTCCATCACCTTGTTTGTTTTCTTGGCCAAACCAAGTTCGACCCAGATGTGGTTCTCTGACGTGGGTGGAAGACTTCTGTTTCTTAGCGCACACGAGAGAAAAGTGTCGGGTTCTTGGAAATTGCTTCCACTAAGCAAACAGTTGAGGAGAGTCACCATATGCAAGGCTCTCCTCGACGCTTCGTCTACACAGCCCAGGTCAACAAGCAGCCCACAACACTGAGGCGTGGACATAAACACCCCAGCGACTTATTCACAAAGTGCTGTGGGAATGCCCCAAAGAGTGTGGCAACTCAGACCAGGCGGAGGCAGGGTGGAATCGTTGAGAGAGCCTTCCAGAGCCATCTGAGACGGGCCGGAAGGAAGAGTAGCACATGGGAAGCTGCGTGAACAGCCACAGAAACAAGCCAGAGGAAACCGCGTTGCCCAGGAGGGGAGCGCGGAGGGCGGGGGAGGAGGGGACGGGGTAGAGGAGGCTGAGGATGGAGAGTGGGCTTGGGGCCCTGAAGGTCTGGGAGGCTCCGGCCTTCGTCCTTGAGCCAGACTGTAGCCATTCAAGGGTTCTGAGCCAGGGAGTGGCAGAACTCATGAAGAGACTGTTAAGACGTCATCAAGACCGAGGCAGGGGGTAAGCATGCTCTTAGAAGCAGAATCAGTCGGGTGTGGTGGCTCACTCCTATAATCCCAGCACTTTGGGAGGCCGAGGTGAGAGCACTGCCTGAGCCCACGGGTTCAAGACCAGCCCAGGCAACTTGACGAGACCTCATCTCTACCATAAATCAAAAAATTAGCCGGGCATGGTGACGCATTCCTCTGGTTCCAGTCACTTGGAAAGCTGAGGCAGAAGGATCGCCTGAGCCCAGCAGGTTGAGGCTGCAGTGGCTGGGAGCGTGCCACGGCCTTGCAGCCTGGGCGACAGAGTGAGACTCCAACTAAAAAAAAAAAAAGGAAGAAAAAGCGGAATCATTTGGACTTAGTTACGGATGGGTTGGTGGTGAAGAGAAATTGTAGGGAAGCCTCCTAGGCTTACAGCAGAGGGACTAATTAGCAGGGGAACAAAGCTACCCTGGAAGGGCTGGGGGTGACGGGACGGAGAACCAGGCAGGCTTTTCGACACCAGCTGTGGGCGCAGAATCTGAGCGCTGCATCTCGGAAGTGGGGCCCAAGGCAAGAGGATCGAGAAACCGAGCAAACAGCTCCCCAGGTGGAACAGCCAGGAGGAAGGGGAAGAAGGGGCGGCCAGAGTGGGGCCTCCACACCAGAGGTGATGGGGGGGGCGTTGGGGGTGTTGGCCACGGCGCCCCACCTCCTGGCCCCTGCTTCATCTTCCCCGTGGCTCCGCCCCTCCCTGAGGCCTCCCCTTGGGTGGAGCAGCCGCCCTCCTCTGCGCCCGCTGCCTCTGAGCTGCTGTTCTCCCACTGAGCACTGCCTGGCTCTGCCCTTCAGACTCAGCCTGTGGGAGGGCGGAGACCGCGTCAGCTGCATTTCTCTGGCAGTCCACTGACAAGCACATGCGTGTGCTGTTGCTGAGAGACAGCCTGTAAAGAGCACGTGGCTATCTTTTGTTTTTTGAGTTGGCCCACTCCGCCGCCCCCGGCCACCGCAGCCTCGACCTGCTGGGCTCTGGCTATCCTTCCGCCTCAGTCTTCCAAGTAGTTGGAACTAGAGGCACGCCCCCATGCCTGGCTAATTTTTTGATTTATGGTAGAGATGAGGTCTCACCACATTGCCCAGGCTGTTCTCGAACCCCGGACTCATGCAGTCCTCTGGCCTCGACCTCTCAAAGTGCTGGGATGACAGGCGTGAGCCACCGCACCTGGCTGGCCAATGTGTTAGCTGTCTGCTGGCTCTTGGATCCAGCCTTCCCGCTCCAGGATGACTTTGTTCCCTGTCTGTTTTCTCTGTTGCAGCTTAATACCATGTTGTTTCCATACTTAAAAAAAAAAAACATGGCCAGGTGCGGTGTTGTGCAATGCCAAGTCTAGTTTCTTAAAGCAAGAGTGAATGGGGGTGTGGGATGGGTGCTGCCCCGTGGCAGGGACGGGCACTGACCCCGTGCATCTCGTTGAAGTGGCTGCTTGAGCTGAGACTGCCCAGCCCAGGGGGTCAGCACCCAGAGACGGATGAAGTTTCCATCGGGGCTGACATTTCACCCCGGAATCAAATCATGGATCGCACCTCTCGTCTCAAGCAGAAATGGATGCATGACCACAGACTTTGTTACCCAAGCCCAAGGCTCCTGAAACCAAAAATTGTCTCATGTTGGGTCTGCCAGACACATTTCCCACACAGTCCACGCCTTAGTGTTTTAGGCCTAAAAGGAGTCACCATAGTCCCTCCCGAGGTCTCCAGATGAAATGCTCTTAATAAGCACATTGTGTTCTGAAATGTCGGATAGCTTTATTAGAAGACTGTTGTTTCTCCTAACCCTGTTTACCAGCTCCAAATAGGATTTGGGAATCATGGCTGAAGATTAGGCAATCGTTGTAATGAATCCCAGGCCTGCCTTTGTGGACCTTTTGTGAGGGTGGGGGAGTCCCATTCCGTCACCCAGGCAGGAAGGCAGGGGCACGCTCACAGCCACTGCACCCTCGACCTGCTGGGCTCCGGCGATCCTTCCGCCTCAGCCTTCCAGGTAGCTGGAACGACAGGCGCGTGAGAACACGCCCGGCTAGTTTTTTATTTATTGTAGAGACGAGGTCTTGCCAGGTTGCCCAGGCTGACCTTGAACCCGCAGGCTCAGACAAGCCTCTCATCTCGGCCTCCCAAAGCCACCAAGCCCGGCCTGTGGACTTTTTTTTTTTAAGGGACAGGATCTCACTCTCTTGAACCCAGGCTGCTGCAGTGCAGCGGCGCTGTCCAGGCTCCATGTACCCTCAGCCCCCAGGGCGCACACGATCCTCCATCTCATTCTCCTGAGTAGCTGGAACTACAGGCAGGTGCTACCATGCCCAACCAATTTTTAAATTTTTTGTAGAGTCGAGGCCTTGCCATGCTGCCTAGGCTGGTCGCAAACTCCTGGGCTCAAGTGATGCTCCCGCCTCGGCCTCTCAGAGCCCCGGGGTGACAGACGTGCACCCTGTGATCCCAGCCATGAGCCACTCACTTCTTGGAGATCTTAGAGGACCAGCTAACTGGCTTGTGCGACAAGGAGGTGACAGGCACCATTTGGAGGGCCGGGCAGCAGCGAGGGGCCACGTCTACTGGCTGGTCCCTTAAGAGATTCCTGTCACCTGCTGATGTCATCGCCCGGTGGTGCTGTGGCACTTGTGTGGCACACGCATGGCTCACGTGGCGTTGTTGGCGAGTACCAACCTGCTATGCCGCCTGTTGTTCGAAGATCTAGCACACGATGTTCGATAACGACAATAAGTGACTCTCTTACTGGTTTACGTATTCACTATGTTTTTTGCTGTCATTTTAGATTATATTCTTTCTGCTTACATTTTTTTTTTTTTGAATCGGAGTCTCACTCTGTCGCCCGGACTGGAGTGCGGTGGCCGCTCCAGGCCACCGCAGCCTCGCCCGCTGGGCTCTGGCGATCCTTCCG